AATGGTGTGTATAAGTTGAATACAGTTAAGTCAGAGAAAGTGTTGGCCGCAGCAGTTCAAATTACAGATGCAAAACAGTGGCATAGGAGATTAGGTCATATTAACAGTAATGATTTGCAGAAGATGAAAAATGGTGCTGTAGATGGCATATCATTTGATATGAAGGCTGATATTCAGAAAATAAACTGCCAGGTATGTTGTGAAGGGAAACAGAGTCGTTTACCATTCCAATTAAGAAACCATAGAAGTACAGAATTGCTAGATTTAGTTCACTCAGATCTGTGTGGGCCTATGGAGGTTCGATCGATTGGACAGGCAAGATATTTTCTATTGTTTGTTGATGATGCTAGCAAGATGGCATTTGTATATTTTCTAAAGGAGAAGAATCAGACTCTACAGTATTTCAAGGAATTTCAAAGAATGGTTGAGAAGCAAAAAGGAACAGGAATAAAAACATTGAGAACTGACAATGGAGGGGAGTTTTGCTCAGATATGATGGAAAATTATCTGAAAGATAGTGGAATCATCCATCAGAAGACAAACCCATATACTCCGGAGCAGAATGGTGTCAGCGAGAGATTCAACAGGACAATTGTTGAACGTTCAAGATGTTTATTGTTCGAGGCCAAACTGGATAAAAGTTATTGGGCAGAAGCAGTTAACACGGCAGTATACTTGAAAAATAGATCGCCAGCTTCAGGTTTGGACCAAAAGACACCGATTGAAGTATGGACAGGACATAAACCTGACCTCAGTCATGTCAGAATATTTGGGAGCCCTGTAATGATGCATGTTCCTAAAAATAAAAGATTTAAGTGGGACAAGAAAGCAGTTAAATACATATTAGTGGGATACTCGGAAAATGTGAAAGGTTACCGATTATACAACCCAGAAACTAGAAAGATATGTACCAGTAGAGATGTCATTATAATGGAGCAAGATACTACTGAGATAGAAATAAACGAAGGACAGATAAAAGAACAGCAATCAGTAGAAGAGGAAAGTTCTATGATAGAAAGTGACAATACATTAACAAATCAGGATGATCCTACCTATGTATATGATTCAGAAAAAAGCACAACTTCAACTGAAGGAGAACTTTATCATACATTAAATGAAAAAGAAGATCTATCTGAAAATGAAGAGCCTCCATTGGTGGGAAAGCGTATCAGGAAACCTCCTGAAAGATATGGTTTTACTAATCTTTGTGTTTCAGATGAATCAGAATCTTGGGCTGAAGACATAAGTTATAATGAAGCTACCAACGGTCCAGAGAAAGACAAGTGGCAGCAGGCTATGTCTGATGAACTTCAAGCATTTGAGGATAACCAAGCCTGGGAGATTGTCAGTCAAGATGAGGCAGATAGAGTAGTACAATGCAAATGGGTGTTCAAGAAAAAGCCAGAAAACAATAACAGTGTCAGGTATAGAGCAAGACTTGTGGCGAAAGGTTACACTCAACAGCACGGAGTAGATTCTAATGAGACCTACTCACCTGTTCTCAGGTACTCTACACTTAGATTATTGTTTGCAATAAGTGTAAAATATAATTTTGAAATCACTCATCTTGATGTAGTTACAGCATTTTTAAATGGTTTTTTAACAGAAAATGTATACATGCAAGCACCTGCTAATTTAAATTGTCCGAGTAATTGTGTTCTTAAACTTAAAAAGGCAGTTTATGGTTTGAAGCAGTCTGCTAGGGCATGGAATGCTAGAATAAACGATTTTTTGATAGATTTAGATTATAAAAAGTCAGTATCAGAACCATGTTTATACAGTAAAAAATGTAAGAATGAGCAGATTATCATTGCAATATTTGTTGATGATTTCTTTATTTTTTCTAATTGTAAAACTATGACTAATGATCTTAAGAAAAAACTTATGTCTAAATTTAAAATTAAAGACTTAGGTCAAATTAAAAGGTGTTTAGGCATGAGAGTGAAATGTGAAAATAACTGTATATCTATTGATCAGGAACAATTTGTAAAACAAATTCTTAAAAAGTTTTATATGACTGATTGTAATACTAAAGATACTCCTATGGAATGTAATTTGAAATTAGAAAAGGCAGAATGTGTTGACAAACAGTTTCCCTATCCACAGCTTATAGGAAATCTTATGTATTTGTCAGTATTAACACGTCCAGATATATCATATAGTGTGAGCTACCTTAGCCAGTTTAATAATTGTTTTAGTTCAGTTCATTGGCATCATGTAAAAAGAATTTTAAAATATTTGCAAAAAACTAAATCTTATGGTTTGAAGTTTACTATAGATACCTGTAATTTAGAAGGTTTTGTAGATGCTGATTGGGCGTCGAATACTGTAGATAGGAAATCCTACACAGGATTTTGTTTTAAATTGTCAGGCTGTGTGATATCCTATGAATGTAGGAAGCAACAAACGGTAGCTTTGTCAAGTACCGAGGCCGAATACATGGCCATTGCTGAAGCATGTAAAGAGGCAATATATTTAAAAAGTCTTATATCAGATATTATTGGTTGTAACTATACTGTAGTAATTTACAATGATAACCAGGGAGCCAAGAAGTTGACAGAGAATCCTTTGTTTCACAAACGAACTAAACATATAGATGTTCGCTACCACTTCATACGCGAAGCAGTCTCTAATAGCCTTGTTAAAATTGAATATCTTTCAACATCTGAGATGCCTGCTGATATATTAACGAAAAGTTTGAGTGCTGCCAAACATAACTATCTTATAAAATTATTAGGAATTCAAAATGTTTAAAATTGTCAAAGTTGTTAGTTTTATTACTGCTTAGTATTTGATTATTTTGATAAGTGGTGCTGTTAAGATATGTTTACTTGTATCAAAATAGTCTACTTGATATCAGTCTGTGCTACTTGTAGTCTGTGCTAGTATGTAGTCTGTACATTGTACAACTAATAAAGTCTCTTTGTTCTCAACCTGCAACTCATTCGTTTTTATTGGTGGTTTGGTTAACATTGCAAAGTCTTGTATAAACTTTCTGTAGTAGCCTACTAGTCCTAGAAATGATTTTATTTATTTCTGTGTTTTTGGTATTGGATATTTTTTTACTGCCGCTATTTTGTCTTCTGAGGAATTCGTAATGTCCTCGATTGCATTTCTACTTGGTGGTTACCAGACGTTAAGTCTAGGGTAGTGAAATACTGAGCTCGTCCTAACTTATCTAATATGTCATCTATGTTTGGTAATGAGTACCTATTTGTCTTCTATAGTTTTGTCATTTAATTTTTGTCTATTACAAGTCTGTACTTTTGTTCTCCTGTTGCGTCTAATTTCTTGGGTACAATATGTACCGGGCACGACCAAGGGTAATTACTTTCTTGTATTATGTTCTGTTCGAGGAGTTTGTGTATTTGCTAATTAAGTGAGGGCCAGCGGTTAATCCCAAAAAAAAAACAAAATGTGTTGAAATTACTTTAATTAATCACTTACAATAATTAAGACTTAACTAAACATAACTATTTAATCGGCCCGATATTAGGTGCACGACAAATAATGTATGTTATAAACTTAACTAGTTGAGAATTGACCGGTCCGATATGACGTATCCGATCAAAAGCTTCTGACCGCTATTGTCCATTTCCTTTTATAACGGTGTTGCGTAAGAGGGGTACTGGTATTGGGTATGCGGGGCAAAGGGAGTGCAATGGATATGTAACATGCTCCTTTGGTTTTGGTGCAAATTACGAATTCGACAGCCCGGACTCCCAAAAAAAAAAAAACAATAATTAGCTTAGTATTTTATTAATAAACTTATAATTAAATTACAAAACTACATCCGTTATCGTTGCTAGTTACGAATGGAATGATCAAACATATTTTATTAAATTAAAATGTTAAACGCGGTAAATGCTGGATCAGCAGAGCAATTCCTCGAAGCCGGCACATTCACCATACACGTGCCGCGATGTCATTGATGTACTTTAGGGTACCGTATGTAATTTGCCTGTCTATAATTTCGTAAATATATTGGTTTGTTATCAGATAATCTTAATTGATGTTTTATTTCATGTGTGAATGTTAATGTAGTTTCTCACAGTGAAATATGTCTCTATAATTAAAGCAAAGCTTTTTAATTTCGCGGTATTCATCCTGATTCATGTGGGTCGTTCTGAGTATTTCTAGATTTTGTTTTAGTAATCCATCTAAGTTTTCGTCGTTTTGATTGTATTTCAGGTTTATTAACTTTTTGTCTGAATTTAGGCGTTGTAGGTTTACATCAGGGATGCACAGACTTATTAACACTAGGGGCCACTCGGGCAAATTATGAACTGATGGCGGGCCGCCAGAAGTATAGGTAATTAAAGACAATAAAGAATTGATAATAATGTATTAAAATAATTTATAAATTTGAAGCGTGGCACAGAGCGTGGTATAGAGCTTACAATCTTTTTTATATTTGGCTCAAATTTACTTGTAGCAACACGTAAAACTACTTCCAAACTTTCGTTTGCAAGGCGGTTTCGATTTTTTGTTTTATTATTATTTAGTATTGAAAAGGTTTGTTCACATATATAGGTAGAACCAAATAAGCTGGCACATTTCAGAGCGTTTATGCGCAACTCTTTGTACGTATTTTTAACAATGCAGCGGTAAAAGTTCAGCAAGTTCCCTTCGTTAAATTTGTTGCGTAAATCTTGGTCGTTTTGAATGTCGAAAATTTCTAACTGCATTGACTCTGGCCCATTTTCAACCGAAATCGTGAAAGGATTGCTGAATATGTCCTACAGAGGTTTCACTTTTTTAAACTCCGAAAATCTGTCTTGAAAAAATTTAATCAAAATATCTAGCTTTTCTACATAATAAATAATAAAATCGCAGTTTGTTGAATTTTTCAACCATTTTCTTATAATTCTGAAAATGATTGTAATTTCCAGAATTCAATTGCGTTCTGAAAAGTGTCAGCTTGCATTGAAAGGATGATACATGAGCGTAGAGCTGGGATATCAGTTGATTTTTGCCTTGAAGCCGTGTGTTCAAGACATTCAAATGATTTGTAATGTCAACTAAAAAAGCCAAATCACACAACCAATCAGGATTTTTTAGTTCCGGGACATCCCTTTGCTTTTCCACCAGAAATATTCCAATTTATTCTATTAAATTTAGAAATCGTTCCAGTGTCAATCCACGACTTAGCCACCTTACTTCTGTATAATACAGTAAATCTCCATATTGGCTTTCGTTGTCATCAAGGAATTGTTTGAATTGCCTGTGGTTGAGTCTTCGTGATTTTATGAAATTTACAGTTGAAACTACCACTATCATGACATTTTGAAATTCAATTTTTTTAGAACAGAGGGCTTCTTGGTGTATAATGCAGTGAAACTGCATGAGATCTTCAGCGTTTATGTTTTTTTCTTGCAGATGCTTTTTCAGCAAAGTAACTAGCCCAGAATTGACACCAATCATCGAAGGAGCACCGTCAGTCGCAACTCCCGATAATTTTGATAAGTCCAAATCAGTTTTGGAACACTCATCCAAAAGTACATTGAGTATATCAACTCCTCTGGTTTGACCTTTCAATGAACACATTCCTAATAACTCTTCTAAGACTTCAAAATCTTGAGTAACACCTCGTATGAATATGAGAAGTTGAGCTGTGGAACTAATATCAGTGGATTCGTCGAGTGCTAATGAAAAAAAGTCAATGATCTTAGTATTTTCTTGTAACTGTACATTTTTGATCGTAGACCTATAAACTCTCTGATAATGCGACCATTACTTTCATCTTTAATTAAACCAACAATTTTTTTATTAACTAAAGGAAGATTGTAAATGTTATCCTTTGAAAAATCCGAGGTGTCGAATCTAGCTTGCAAATCGCATTTAATGTCTTCATAAAAATTGTTAGTTTTAATAATGTAGACGATAGAGTCAGTATCGGTGTATAGTAATTGAACATTTTGCCGATATTTAGGTAGCATATAGGAGAATTGAAATTCATACATGACATATTTTGAAAGTTCTAAAACAGTGAAACCAACGTACATAGGTTTATCATACGTTATTTTAGTTTTATTCATTTGCAGCTACTAAATTCTCAGAGAAAATTTTAGACCTATGAAAATTAGGAAGAGAGATATATCTCTCAAGTCCATATTTACATTTGGTTATTGTTTTACAATCATTCCATCTACCGTATAGTTTTACATCAATCCTTTTCCCAACATTTTCTATGGTTTTAAAAAAAATCGAGTTATTCATGAGTTTGTAGAAATCCTTTTCAAATGAGTTTGTAGCTGCTTGCCTTTTGTTCAAATCTATGTAAGATGTAAGCCATGGAGATGAGAATGAAAGAAGAAAAGATGAGACTCGGTGGATTTTTTTGCAAACTAAACCATTTTCAATACATTGTTTCAAATTCATATAGTGAATAGTATAGTTTTGTTTGTCGTTGAGAGTGAGCAATAGCTTTTTAGTTTTACCATTAGGTGGAGCTTTGGTTTCAGCGCAAAACGGGTAGTCATTGTGTAGATCATGATGGGAATGTGGAATGACCATACAAATTATTAACATCCAAGTACACTATAAAATAGCTTTCACCTGCTGTTCCGTGGTGGGATCCGTAAATTTATTATTGGATTTAGCATTCCTTTTTGAAACTTGACTGATCCCACCTCGAATGCCTGATTGTATGAATTGAAGCATCTCGTAATCAGTAAGAAGTTCAAGATTTACACCCGTCTCTTTTAACATGGCATCCCCCAAGAGACCTGGTGCTGTGAGATATCTACATGGATCTAGTTTGTACACCTAAGCAAATACCGCGAAAGTTTTCAAAAACTTCAGCCAGTAGTAAGATATCTGTTTTAAGATATAAATCAGAGTATTCACCCAACGAGCTACATTCAAATTTTTGCCGTATCTTTTGTCCGTGTAGGTAATCATGATCGGAAATGTGTGTTTGTGTTAATTCACTGTAAAATAACTGTTTATCAGGTAGGGAATTTTCTTCAAGCTTAGACCAACAATCAATGTATTCATATGGAAATACTCCTTTTCGCATTATTAGATCCATTAGTTCATGGTTCGGAAAGTAATGAGGAAGTATTTGAAACTGATTGGGTGATAGAGTTTTAACTAACTTCTCCAAACTTGTTGGCATGAATTTAAACGAGTCTACAAAGCGCATAGTAATACTTCTGGAGGAAGTTTTAAAATTTATTTTTTTACTGATTGAAATATACTTTATGTAGAGGTAAGCATGAAATATTTTCACCATCTCTGGCAGCCAGTTCTTTAATATATAAATGACTATCATACCCACTCAAATTATGGAAAAATATGGGTACATAGTGCGGATTTGTATATTTCAAGTTACAACTGCTATGAGCCACACCTCTGATTTTTCCTGTCAAATAGCAGTGATCAATAACCCTCTCCTCTGTCATTGGTGTAAGGAAATCTTTATGACAAATGTGACAACAAGTAGATTTTAATAATGCTTGATGTTCTAGGGTTACATTTTCACAAATCTTTGAAAAAAATCCTGCGATATGATCAAGGTCAGAATAAATATTATCAACAAACTTTTTAACACAATCCTCACCGCGATAAATGACAAACTTTGATAGTGACTTATCATAGTTACTATGTATGTAGTACCCGAAGCTATATGGTATATGCTTATGCGTGTAATAGGTACTTTTAAGTTCAGTTGAGTCTGATGGGGCTTAATATCGATTCTGAATCAGCATATAATATTATGGCTTTAATTTTATTTTTTACTTCAGTAGAAGTGAGCCCTTCGATTTGCATTTGTTGAGCCATATTTTGCAACGCTGTTGACCGCATTTCTTTATTGCGGTAATTTAATATCCCAAAGGCACTCGTTTTCGCCATATAATTGCACCAATTCTAGGGTTTCGTCTTCGCTAAGTTTCATTTTTATCGCCAGCGAAAAAAACGTGGTCACTCTACAACGCAGCGGCAGTGACTAACCACGCACTGACTTGTCAGTTGTCTGTTTACACGGGGTTTATTTGTCTGGCGCGGGTGGCGGGGGGCGCCCACTGACTTTAAAATATTCAAGTCAGCGCTGACTTCAAGCCACTGTACTGACTTCCTAAACAGCTGTTGCTAATGGCAGGCTCGGCAACCTCTGGCGTATAAAGCCGTGCAGTTCTTGAAACCACTTGACTTTTGGGACATATACGTTCCCACTAGCGCCAGATCTGGTGGATTTTTGTATCTTGTCGAGCTCTAAATAATATTATGGCTTTAATTTTATTTTTTACTTCAGTAGAAGTGAGCCCTTCGATTTGCATTTGTTGAGCCATATTTTGCAACGCTGTTGACCGCATTTCTTTATTGCGGTAATTTAATATCCCAAAGGCACTCGTTTTCGCCATATAATTGCACCAATTCTAGGGTTTCGTCTTCGCTAAGTTTCATTTTTATCGCCAGCGAAAAAAACGTGGTCACTCTACAACGCAGCGGCAGTGACTAACCACGCACTGACTTGTCAGTTGTCTGTTTACACGGGGTTTATTTGGCTGGCGCGGGTGGCGGGGGGCGCCCACTGACTTTAAAATATTCAAGTCAGCGCTGACTTCAAGCCACTGTACTGACTTCAAATCAGTTTACACAGGGTTTTTTTCGGGTCAGCACGACTTGCCTCGAATTTGTAGTCAGTTACTGACCCTGAGTAAATCAGCTCTAAGGTCAGTACACGCCGCGTCCTCCACTCGCCTCGATGTCTCGCTCACTCTCTCAGGGTCAGTGCAGCCTTCGTATCCGCCATCTTGCGTCGGATTAGAACCCGAAGTACAAACTGACGCCTCGACGCGCGACAGTGTATCTAACGCCTGATTTTGCACTTGCGTAAAAGAGACAAAATCTTCATCCAAATCAGCTGGTGGCGGTGACGAATGACTCACCCTATCTGAGCGGTTGTCGAAATGAAACGTTGACATATTAGATGGTCCGTCATTAACGCTATTTGGTAAAAATCCACCTCTTTTAACATTTATATTCCTGTACGAAAAAGGCGTATTTCTTAAGGGTCCGTCCCTCATTATTTCCACTTCTCGCTTAAGTAACTCGAACTTCTCAGTTGCTACAACCTTCTTCTCCAAAGAAGTAATCTTCATTTTTAAACTCAATATATCCTTCAAAAGTCGAGTTGCATCAACATGATCGAATGTTACTGGGGGTAGTTTGTGTAAGTCCTTAGCCACAAATATTGGGAATAGTCCCGCGTTAGTATTTTTCATGACACAGATAATATAATCCAATTCACGAGAATTTTTTTTATTTCTTTCCTTTCGACGTGATGGTATCTATCTTGCATTTGGTATGGAACTTAAGAGCAAGGATACAAATACTAACAAATGGGGCGCTGAGTTGATGATTCACGTTTTTAAAATGTACATATTTATCTTCAGAGGAAGGTAATTCTATTAAAGCCTTTTGACAACCTATTCTCTTATGAAGTTGAAATTTACTCTCAATGCTAAAGCGTTGCAAGCATCCATCACAAAAGTAATGACAGTGTTCACGTTTACTAGTTTGAGAGCCTAACAAACGGGATAAGTTTTTAATCCAACAATAGTGTGACTGTTTGGTTTTTTCATCTTCATAGAACAGTAGGTTCACATGTTGAGTATAGGTTTTTGATGATATAAACATTGGTACAATAAATTTTTTCACATGTTCTACACCATACACATTTACTTTAATTTGATTTAATAATTCGAACCGTGATACCCTTTGAGCACACTGGTAGAGAAATTCCATCCGTTTTCAAAACTGACTCATATGGTGGGTATGCTGATAAACGGTGTTTGTTTGTGATGGGTGGATAGAGAGCGCTCACTACAGTCCAGAAAAAACATGCATTATGATTGTTCTTCACGTTGACACAAGCAAACTTACGTTGTATCCAAACAGGAAGTGATAAGAGCTTCCTGTTATAAGAGTGTGTTTATTAACGTTCACTTCTAAAAACTCTATTTTTTTCAAAGCCCATCCACTATCCTTTTCTTGAAATTCTTCACATTTCCGTAACATTTGGGAACAAATCTCTTCATAGAATGAGCATAAATTCGATGAAAGGTCTAAAGTCACATTCTTCGTGTTGAATGACTTTAGATCTCTAACTACCTCTTCTTTCCTCTTGTCCGCATCCATGACAATCATTACATATGTACAGAAAAGTTCCAAGTTTTGATGTGTTTGTATGTTTTCAACTCGAGGGTGAGTAACTGTTGCACCTTTCCCGATTCCAGCCATGTATAGCTTAGGATCCAATAGTGTTGATGATCCATTGATTCTATAGGACACAATTCTACACTGGAACGCTGAATATATAATGTAGTAATCACCTGAATCTTGCTTACATAATAACTTATGATGTTTTGTTCTTAAGTGAGCAATTAATTGATCGTTTGCGACTGCAACACTACAGAAAGGGCACTCGTACATTATTAAAGAAAGCAAAATTGACCACCTCGCAAAAGAACGTCATAAGGTATACTAATCAAATTCTTTCTTTTTATCTGACAAGGATGTGGTAAAGATAAAACAATGTGGTTAGGTGTAAATATAATTTATTTCATAATAGGAATATATAGGTATATATTTTTTAAAATAAACATGAATAAAACAAGTGCTCTAATGTAAAACATTTGATTTCAACATCTACAAGTGAAGTTTGATCATATTATATACTATCTAGAACATTGGAGGCTACATACAATGTTTTCACTTGGCTAAGCTTAAATCTTTTTCTAAAGAAATTTAAACGGTTTTTATAGTAGAATTTAATTCTTAATAATTGTTGAAGACGTAAGTGAAGATAATTCATGATCTGACACAAATACCACCAACCTCATCGATTGAGTTCCAGTGAAAATCACAATAAAGTTTTTTTCTACTTCCCCTTGTAGGTTTATAAATGTTATAGCTTGTTGTTGTGTGTTTGGAGTAGAATCGTTCTTGAAAAATAGTGATATATCGCTCACATTATAACTTGTAAAAAATGTGTTCCATTCTTGTTTATTCAATGTTAAGCGATTATTGATGCTAATACACACATCCAATCCCACATTCACTTGATTCAATGGCTTCAAAAACATTGTAAGGTACAGGTGCTAATAATAGATCAGATCAGTTAACCCACACTGACAAGAGACCAGACCTGATTGGATCAGTTAACAGATAAATTTTTTATTTTTCTATTCTGAAACCATCTAGCAAATGCCCTAACTTCCACATCACTACAATGACAGGTGCGTGATTTGCTCACAAAAACCGTGTGTCGTGAGCAATTCTTTAAAATTTAAAGTTTAAATTATGTAAATTTAAGATTTCTATAATCTTTTCCACCTTAGGACAACCAATTACTTCTATGTTAAATGAGTTAAATCCTAATAAGTTTAATCGTTTTTTTTCCACTACTCCCCCTTTATATAACCAAGTAAATTTTTTTTATCGAAATCTTTAATTTTATTTATTACATTACTGTAACTCAAGTCGGTGCTAACATTTTTAAACGGTAGTCCGTGAACATTTTTTTCACAGAATACTACTTCCCTAGTTTTCCCCTTAGATATTAATGAATTGGGGAGCTTCGCATGTGATAAAGTTACTTCATTTCTATGTAAATCATAGATTGCAAGCTCTTTAAAGAAAATAGTGCCCTCAATTGGAAATCCATCTATATCAATCAAATATCGAGCATTAGTGAAATCCATTATTACCTACACAAAAAAAATTAAACCTCTATCCCTTCACTTAAACACACTAATAATGTGTTTATCAGAAGGTTACCTACTCGTCCCGTGAAGTTTTGTGTGAAACACTCGCTTGGGGTTTCATTCAAATGCTGAATCCATTTGATCACATCCACATTTATATTACCTAAAGTGTCTTCCTGATGCGCTGCAATAAGATCCCAAAGCCGAATCACCGCGTACACTTCTATATCACCAAAGTTGCTAGCTAGGTATAATTGTGTGAGTATTAAGTTTACATCTCCATGTAGTTTTATTAGTGATACATCACGTGTCCACAACTTCAACAGTCTGTTAGTCGATATATATTGAATCCACTCTTGCTTGCTCTCATTTAGCATTACGTCATATAAGTTCACTGGGTTATTGTTCATCTCAATCACACACACTGCAATTAAAAGGCATGATGATTTATTTATTGCATCTTCAATGTGTGTATGTGTGTGTGTGTGTCTGTGAGTTATTTTCTCTTACTGGATGGTTGGGGTGAGTTCAGACTGGAATGTGTTGGGAATCAAACCCCAATTCGGGGGTGGGGGTGGGCTCCTCCTGAAAGTGTATTATCCATGATCTTCTGCTTGGCCCTTTATTTATTAAATAGGGCTCCTCCGTCTGAATGTATTTAAACATATCTTCACTTAGATCATCGAAGCGGTTAGGTAGTGTAAGAATGAACCCATTTTCCAGGTGCACTATGGTTTGCATCCTGGATGCATGAAACTTTGAGGGGAGCCTTTTCACCCAGACTATTTTGTATGACTTGTTCAGCTCTAGGTCCCCAATTTGACCCATGTTTTTTTGCCGAAAGTGTTGAGCTTGGCCACGGCGGTGGTTGCGGATGAAGACATGATTTTTGAAAGTTTCACTTACGGTTTTCTGAGTAGGTAGGTAATGCATTAGCACACAAGTTATGGTGAGACTGAAGTACACTGATGTTCGCGTTGGTATTTATATCCCCAGTTCCATCCTGTTCCCATGTTATCATTACATATATTATTCAAACCATCAACCACTTCCACCTATTGATAACTTTATTTTGCTGTAGTAAGGAAAACCACACTGACTGACTCCCACATTGATAATGAATGGAAGCGAAGTGTTCTACACTCACAATCAACCTTTTAGATAAACATTCCCTTGATTTGTCTTCCAACTAATGTTCTACTTCACTCCTAATCGGTATTTTAGATAAACACCCAGTTCCATTGATTTCACCGGTTTTTAATTTATCCAACTGATCATAGCTCCAATATATTACACCTTCCAGTGTCATCTTAAATTGTTGGCATGATTCACTTAAAGGATAAGATGTAGTAGAAGTAATAGTGGAAGAGTTTACCATCTCCATCAATGTTACTCTTTTAGCCGATTCATTATCTATTTCTTCACCCCTAGAACCATGATGACGATGAGAACTATTAGTTCTATGACCTCTTGGTACTTTTACAGTTATTTCCAAGCCTCTCTCATCAGTGAACTTCTGTTCAAACATATCAGATGACCAAGATTGTTCTAAGTTATTTGTTACTTTACGGCTTTGCTTTGAACGGCTTTTGACGAAGTGTGTGATTTCCAATTTATACAGTAATAATCGATTATGACTATCACATAAGCTTAAATTAAGCTGTTTCTTTGTTTTCATTTCATTACTTCGTACAGTGATTACAGTATCATTTCTAGGAAAAGAAGCATTACTTTTGTCACCATAAAAGTAAAATATAATCAGCCAATTCTTCACAAAATGATTTCCATTAAGATTTAGTAACTTAACTTTCTTCAAACTTAAGTTATTGCTTAAACATAAATCACGTAAATCGACATCTATAGATTGTGAAATGCTCTTCTCAAAAGTTGAGATACTCCATCCTCATCTCGTTGAATTGAGAACACAATCACCCACGGTAAAAGACTTGTAAATAACGTTTTTACATGTGCATCAGCACTGTGCAATGCATGATTGACAAGCAGTATGACGTGGAATCTTCTATTTATACTCATCTATCAATTACTCATTTCCTATAAATCCTTTGTTTCATTCCTCTATCAATTTCAAGCATTTCAATTGCATTGATTTTTTTCTAATAGAATAAATACAATGTAACTATCGCATCCTGTCAGACGATTGGTAAAATCACGCAACATTAATAGCGTTGATTTTTTAATATGATAAAAGTCATGTGACATTGTGACCTATCTCATCCTGTCAAGCGATAAGTAAACATATAATGTATGAAACCAGCAATTGGTAAAAAATATATTGTACTTACGCAACCAGTCAACCTTCAAACACTAGGTAGGTACCCAAAGTTAGGTGGAATATGAGTGAGCCAGAACCTGTAATAATCATGGCGGGAGATAAGAAAAATACAATGTACCTATATAACCAGTCAACCCATGGCTACTCCATCAACCTGCACATAGAACTCATCTTTCCACATTAAGTATAATCTGGTGACATGTTCTGTTCCCTAAGTCTTTTTGCAATTATATCTAGGCAGTCATTTATTGGTACGTTTGAGATATCTCAATGTTTCCACAAAGTGGTAAGAGTCCTTAATATAAGCAAGCTAGAAAACGTAGCATCTTCATTGGAGATCTTTAAAATAATAACCGTGATCTCTTCTTCTTCAAAATCTGACGAACATGCGCCAGCATATCTATATTTTTTATTATTAATATTATATTCCACAAGTACAAAATCTCTGTTCTTTACAGTCATAGCAGTGTCTGCATTGTCTATAGTATTAATCAAATGAGTAGATGTTTGTGCAACTATTTTGTTTTGCACATCTTCCTCAGAATCGGTGTATACTGCATCAACATCCAATTTTTTATTTTTATTTTGGGGGTATTTAATGTCGCCTAAGTGAAAGTGAGGACAAAAAATTGCTACAAAAGCAGCTGAGGCTCTTTTTGTATAACGTATTGCTGAGATAGTTTCCTCGTACTTAATGCACTTTTAGTGTACCAGTATAAGGTTTGATATTTGGTCAATTATTTTCCATTATCTTCTTTTGAAAATCAATTTCTTCTTCCGATATCACAATTTTTTTATTGCCGGGACAAGATTTGTTTAATTCCGTAGCAAATTCGTCAATCGCAGCAATATCAGTTCCTAAGGCAGTTGTCCCACCAACGACGAGAAAACGACTAACTATCGGCTATTTTCTCGCTCAAGAAACGTACAATAGATATACTTTCTGTGTGAACAAAAGAGATGCATATACAAACAGTTGATCGCTGACTGTTCACACTGCCGGCGAGCACTCGCTTCACTAGTTTGTCGCTGAGCGACAAGAGCTATGAAAGATAACACTCGCTCGGCGATACTCGCCAAGCGATTAGAACTCACGCCGAACCACCGCCAACCAGTGGTCATCTCTCTACAGTGCGTATCTGAAAGTACACGTTTTTTTTAAATTTAATATGAATATCGAAAAATCATTTGAATTATCATTGTTATCTAGTTCAGACGACGATGATGATGAATTCTATGATAGGATTTGTGTAGTGGCTGCGGCAATTCTGAATAAACGTAAGAAAAAATGAAGAAAAAAAGAAGAATATGGATGGAAAATATTAATTATTTCAGGAAAGAATGCAGTGAATTCAAACTATTCTATGAATTAACAAATCATGGCTTTCGCACATATTTTAGAATGACAAGAGACGAGTTTGAATATTTGCATAGTTTAATAGAAGATGACATTAAAAAAGAAAATACAAATTATAGAGAAGCTATTGGTACAAGAGAGCGTCTCGTCATTACATTAAGGTAAGGCTCCATCGCTTGGAGTGATTTCAGCGGCAGACATTGAATCTTGGATCTCTTCGTTTTGGCTACGAGTAGTATGTTCTCCAATTCCAATTTGCTGCACACCAGAACCGCTGGGTTCAGGTGAGGCAGAACCGTGTCCAGAAGAAAAATTTGTCTGACTCGTAGAAGGGGAGAGTTGTAAGAATAATCGTTTGAGTAGTAACCGGTATATGAATAGTTTGTATTAGCAATATTGTCTTCAGCATCCATTACCAATTGAAACAACTTTCTTTTTATTGTTCTTTGATAATACTCCGGCATCTGCTTTGTACTATGATACATTGAATCAAAAAAAGCTTTTAAAGGATCACTTGATGTTAGTACTTCTTTACGTAACTCATCCCTCTGCGCAGTTCGTTTTGCTCGATTATCATCCATATCTTTTAAAAAATTTAACAAATCTTCGTCATTATGAATTATTTCATCCGTCTTCCTTTTTTTTGGAGCTGTTATCGTATCTGCTGAATCTCTACTAACATCTGTATTAGATGTTTCCTCGAAACTTGTCGAAATATGTATCTCGTTCCGCATTTGTCATATATGGAAGCAAAAATTCCATGTGACTCATGTACTTCCAGGGTTTTATTTGTTTTTGTGACTGTCCACTTGTTGTCTTCTTGATTTTTTTTAATTTTTCACGGTGCGTGTCTCGCAAATTTTTCCATTTTAACTTTGCCTGTGTAACTGTAAATAAAACAAATAATTATAACACCAGATCAAAATTAATTTTATGTTATTAACTAATATTATTTGGTATTTTTATTTATTTTCAGATATCGTATAACCGGAAATTCATATACAGCATTGTCAAAAAGCTATAGAATAGGCCGTTCTACGCTCTCCGAAATAATACCAGTAGTATGTGAATCTTTATGGATCAAGTTGCAGCCAAAAGTAATGAAGCTCCCTACTGAACCCGAATGGAAAGTTATAGCAAAAGACTTTTATGATTTGTGGAATTTCAATAATTGCCTTGGTGCAATTGATGGCAAGCACGTGGTAATTTTTTCGCCCCGTAAATCGGGATCACAGTACTTTAAGTACAAAAAAACATTTTCGATTGTACTGTTAGCAATTGCTGATGCTCATGGAAGATTTATAATGATCGATGTTGGATCAATGGGCAGATACAGTGACAGCGGAATATTCACAGATAGTAATTTCTACAATGTGTTGCAAAACAATGGATTGAGATTACCCGCAGATGAACCCCTATATGAAGGAGGTTTGCCTCAGCCTTATGTTTTTATTGGTGACTGTGCATTTCCGTTGATGACACATTTATTAAAACCATATCCTGATCATGAAAGGTTGGATAAAGACCAGTTAATATTTAATTATAGACTGAGCAGAGCACGCCGAATGGTAGAAAGTGCGTTTGGTATGTTGGTGCACAAATGGCGTATCTTTTTTAGGCCATTAGATGTTAAAATAAGTACCGCCAAAAAAATTGTAAAGGCTGCGTGCGTTCTACATAACTATGTATTACAGAATGAAATCGAAAAGACGCCTTCACAGTCAGTTTTTTCTGATAATATGTCAAGAAATTACTCCGAGGTATCTGAACAAAACTCAGCAGATTTTGAAGACGGCTTTTTTGTGAGAGAATATTTCATGGAATATTTTAATTCCGTTGGAACAGTTTCGTGGCAAAATAACCGTGTGCAAAATGTATTAGATTCTGATAGGATAACACATAACTTACATTAGACTCTGCAAAATGAATATTGATTTAACTATAGGTATATGTTGTGTTAGATGTATGTTAAATAAAAAACTTACCACTTTCTATATTTGTTTTCTTTAAAATGTATTTCCAAGCTGCGTCCTTCACGTCTAATTGTTTATATGAAATCAGTTTTGTGTCCCAAAGACACGGATATTGTCGGACACATTCAATAAAAAAACTCATCCATTTTTATTGGAAAATTGGGAACACGTGTATCGCGTATGAGGCCGCAAGACTGACTGGTGACTGTATGCTTGACTGCCGCGAGCGAGTGATGCGAGTAATCGCCCGCCTCACTCGCACACTCGCTTATAGCCGAGCTACACAAATATCGGAACTACGCACTCGCTCCCCGCGTCTCGCTAACTCGTTTCTAGTTCTAGCTCTACTCGTTACTCGTTAATCGTTGCCGGTGAGACAAGTGCCTAAAGCTACAATTTTGTCAGCGGTTCGTTGCGACATGTCCCTCCGATACCATCTGAAGTTCCTTTACCAGGACCGGCTTCATGATAGTTCCAGGTAAAATACATAAATATTCGGATAGGTTTCAGTCAATTAACAAAGTAAGTAAAAAAACATATCTTTGTTACGGTACTGAGTAACAAAACCATCGCTTAAGAAATGAACGTTTTCTATCGAGGACGGAAGGAGTTTCATGACAGGTTTTGGATGAGCCCAGATTACAGGTACATTTTGGTTTAGGTTTTCTGACATTGTGGCTAAACATTTTGTTTCTCCCTTGGTATATAAGACCACAGTATGCAAACTTATTTGCGTACGTGACCCACCAAAATGGAATGATTGAACTTCTGAAGAATATTTTGTATTATAATTTTCGATAAAGTCCATATGAATCACAGCATCTTTTTCAGTTAAGTTATCTTTTAGACTTTTAATGGTTTCATATTGATGCACTATATTTGCTTCATGCTTTAAAAAAATATCAAGGTTTTCTTTAAGTTTCATCACAATTTTGGAGCACAGTTTAATGTTATTTTCTTATATTTTCGAACTCTGCGTTTTTTCTTGGTTTTAGTTTCTAAAATGTCCTCGGTAATACATTGCCATGAAGAGTATTTGTTCATAACAGAATTGTCGAACTCACGATAACATATGGAACGTGATATGCAGTTAAGACATTCTCGCATAAGACATTTTTCATTGTATCGGTCGCAACAATAATTAAGCATGCTCTGATAGTTTGGAAAATCTATGATGTCTGCCTGTTTTAGGGAAGCCAAGGATAGCTCCATGTATGCATGAGTTACACACAAACAAGTTTCCCTTTGGTGGATGTTTGTTTGGGGTTACAACTCAAAAAGGTCGTAGGCGGCAAAACAGTGTGTAACTCAACTTTATATTTTTTGTTTTTATAAACTTGGTGTGTAGATTTTTCATGGTGTCCTGTAATAATCTCTTCTGTCTTTTTATTTTACCTTTTGTAATGCTTCAAAAAACTCTGCGACTTTTTTCTCTAACTTCGAATTCGTTTTATCGTTTCTTGTCGTCCGTGTCATATCTAACAAACTTTTATTTGCAGTACATGACTGTCTAATAGGTTTCATATTGATTTGGTTCAACACTTAATACTTCTTGACTATTTTGCCACTTAATAATTTTTTAAATATCTTCTTTTCATTATCATTCGTTGTCGAATTTATATTTTCTTTGAGTTGATTTTGGATCACCTCACTAAATAATATTTTTTTCTAAACCTCTTCTTTATTCTCTTTACTATTATTCTGTAAAAGATCGGCCACTTTTGAGTTCGGAGTCATTTTATGTTTTCCGATGCGCCGTAGTTTCTTTTGACAGTCACGTACCTTTTGACGCAACTGTTTAATTTCATATTTTTGTTTTTTATAAGTTGATTTCGTAGTTTCCACTGAATTGCTGATCGCCTTTTAGCAGCCAGAGCGATATTGTTTTGTGGAAGCGGAGGTTGGTCTTCATTATCAGACGCAGGTGGTGTTAGTGGATAGTTTCTGGTAGATTGTAGCTTTACGCGATCTCTATGCTTTTTAGTCTTCTCTCTCCATATTTATCTTACAGCCCTTTTAATAAAACACTATTTTGACCGGATTGAAGTTATGTATTATTATAAATTTACAACTATTTAACCCCTTCGGTCCTGGCGTCCATGTGAGTGGACATGCTCATAAAACACTCGTTGTATTGTTGGGTCTTATCAAAAGTCGATTGTAAATTAATGCTAGAAATCCGAGAAGTACTTAGAATCGAATATTATAAACAACGTTTAAGAAATGTGATGTGGTTAGGTGGAAATAACTAATCAAGTGTAGTGAACAGTCATAGACAGCCGACCAGCACGTAAGTATATTTTTGGTTTAATTTTATTGAACATTGATGTTATGTATAAAGTTGAATTATTTTTTTCTTAATGAATAGTGTTTATTTTACATGCAGACATGATAATAATTATGAATCTTTGTGTCTTACTATGTAAAATCTGTACTTATTGCCATGTCCATTGTAATGGACAACAGGTTCCAATCGATAAATTTGAGCATAAACCTTTATTGAGATAAGTTTGAATAAAACATACTATTTTTACCTATTTTGTTATTATTTTTCAGGTTTTGACTTATCCCTGACTTACCCGACAAGGAGACGTTGACAATTTGCTTAACATTCTTGAAAATGGGACTTTATCTGATATCGACAAAGAAAGTGATGATGAAATTCTACAGAATACTTCAAAATGGCCGCCTCGTAAATGTAGTAATATCGGACGATATTACTACCTACCCAAACGAACCTTTGTGAGATGAATAAGAAATCAGTATCAAGCTTTTGCTTCATATGTTAATGCACTGGCAAAGCGAATAATTAGCCCTGGACATTATTAATTCTATGACAATTACTTTTCCAATTTGTTGCATGACCATAGAGAAAGACAAATTTATGCTGGAGGGACAATCAGATTAGACAGGTTTGGAAAACCCCCTGTTATAATAAGTGTCATCTTAGCATCCAATTTTGTTGGTGTTGGAGAGCAAGACGATGCTCGAAGATGGAATAAAGTCCTTGGATACTTTATTATAGTAGTATATACCAGTACCACGCCCTGAGCTAGTAAGATTATATAATAATAATTGAGAGGAGTAGACAAAACAGATCATCTAATAAGTCTGTACTGTATCTTTATTCGATCGAAAAAATGGACACTTGGTATGATATTCCATGCCATCGATTTATCACTATCTAACAGTTGGTTGGAATATCAGGCAGATGGTTCCATCTGTAAGATACCTGTGAAAGATATTCTGGATTTACTCGGAAGTGCAGCAGATTCACTGTTAAAAGTGGGACAGGCACTAAACAACAGAAAAAGAGGTCGTCCATCTTCAGGAAGTAGCAGCAAGCATTCCAACATCTACACAAAGTCGACGACGCAAGTTGAAATAGGGCCATACCTGAAGTTCACCATTTGCCAGAATACGATAAAAAAAAGGAAGCTACTAGATGTAAAAAAGAATGCAAGGGCAAAATACATGTTTATTACCTCAAATGCGGAATACATCTCTGCTTCACTAGTGACTGAAATTGTTTCCGTATTTTTCACCAAAATCTTGATTAAATTTATGTTAAGTGTGTTAGTAACAAAAAAAAATCCTTGATACATCGTTTTTTTTTATTCAATTGAGCTAAGAGTAACATTCTAAACAAAAAACTTGATAACGGTTTGAAACGCGTTTATATTTAAATTATATGATTTATATGATTATATTTAAATTTAATACACTTAAAAGAAAATATAAGTAACGTTCTGTACTAAATTTAATATTAATTTAGTACTATAAATCCGGGTACACATCATTAAGAAACAACACTAAGAACCTGACGTCCATTTCAGTGGACACACAATTTTCTAAAAAACTATAAAATGAAAATTATATTTTTTTAACAAAATATGTTCTGTATTCTCTAATGAGCTAATAAAACATAAAAAATAATTTTTATATCGTCAATATTTAATGTAGGTCCAAAGGGGTTAACATAATTTTAAATTTATCCAACGTTTCGCGTGCTTTACAGCGTGCGTGGTCACGGTGACTGAAGACAAAAGATGTTGAATGTCAAAAAGTATCACAGCTGCAGAGAAAGTTGCATTATCTGTATTTATTTCCCCGGAGTTGGTATCGACTAAAAGATGGAGGGTTTTGGCAAAAATGGCTTACGGTGTCCTCTATTTTCGCGGATTGTGTTTCTTTTTTTAGATTTTAATTTGGATATTATTGGATCCCAGGTGTTTGACAATTTTAGGCCGTCTTCTCTATTGAAATTGGGGTGTTTTTTGATTTCAATGGCTTCGCGTACCAATCTTGGGAAGAATCTTTTCTCTTTCGCAAGTACTTTCGGTTGGTCAAAGCGTATGTAGTGATTAGGCCTATCTAGTATGTGTTCACAGACTGCTGATTTTGTGTGTCGTCTATGTCTTAAGCCGCATTTATATTTATCTGACGTGTTGTGTTGTGATGCTCTCTGTCGTGATGGCTACTGTTCACATTGATATGACGTGTTATGATGCATTATGACGGTTTTTTGTATCAGTTCCGTCTTGACTCCCAGAGAGTTCACACGTTTGCAATGTTTTTTCAAGAATCATCCGATTCAGATTCAGATTTTGAAGAAGAGTTGGAATTATTGGCGTTGGCAACGCTTCTAACTAAACAAAGAAAAAGAAGAAGATATTGGATACATCCCGTAAATAGAAAAAGAGAGAGCAGAGGCGAGTTTCATTGTCTCGTTAAAGAGCTTGAGAGTGATGCAGAAAAATTTCATCAGTATTTTAGAATGTCTAAGGCACAGTTTGAGGAAATTCATCGTTTGATTGAAGAAGACATCAAAAAAATACGGACAAAATTTCGTAAACCTATTGGAACAAAAGAAAGACTTGCAGTATGTTTAAGGTAAGATTTTTATTTTTCATATAAATTAATTATCTTCCTCAGAAAATTGTATGTCTGAATAATATGCCGAGAGACGAGAATCCTGTTGTTCCGAATCCAATGTCGATGCTTCCATTGGTGCTGTGAATGTCGGTGTGTAGGCGAAGGTTGATGTACTGGGGAATGACAGCATGGATGTGGATGTGTGAACGGGTGATTGCAGTCTCTGTTGTTGCGGCTGAGAAATAATCTGGCGAGTCACATTGATTGGCATTCTGCGGATTTGGTCTTGTGCTTCGAGGATGCGTATTTCGGCTTGTGATATTGCCGTGTGCAAATCTAATTTTATTTTGGACTGTTCGAGTTTAGGAAGTTTTTTTAGGGCTTTGCTCATGCTGAGAAAGAATAAGTCAGTTTCATCCATGTCTTTATCCTGGAGCTTGTTTTGTTGTTTTTGAAGTCGCAAATCATGCGATGATTTCATCAAATCGTATAATTCATGTAAGTTGGTTTTATTGCGTACAGGTCTGCTATAATTTGTAGAACTGGATTGTGGTGTTGGTGAGCGGTTATCTAATTGAGATTGAATGGTATCGGATTCAGATTCTTCTAAATTAATATCAGATTTTACTGAATTTGGCGGTGACTCAAGATTAGTTACTGTAGCCCGAGATTCTATATACGTCTGTAAAAAATTCATCTGCTCTTCATACTTCCATGGAATTATTGATTCCGAGGCCGCTAAGGCCTGACCACTTTTTTTATTTTTACGACGTTTCATGGCGTTTACATAGGCATTTCTTAATTTTGTCCACTCATCTTTACATTTATCCGCTGAAACAAAAAAAAACATATTTTATTTTAATTACAGATTTTTGGCAACTGGAAACTCCTATCGGTCGTTGGCGTTCAGTTATCGCATGGGTTTTTCTACAGTTAAAATCATAGTCGAAGAAGTATGTACTGCAATATGGAAGAATTTGGCACCTATTGTAATGCCCAAACCTACTGAACAAACATGGAGAGAGATTGAAAAAGGTTTTGAAAAGATATGGCATTTCCCAAATTGTCTCGGATCACTGGACGGAAAGCACATTAATTTAATATGTCCAATAAATGCCGGCTCAACTTATTTTAATTACAAAAATGAGCATTCGATTGTGTTGCTAGGACTTGTTGACGCCCATTACAGATTTATTATAGTAGATGTAGGGGCATATGGGAGAAATAGTGATGGTGGTATATAACAAGAGTCATTAATGGGGAAAATGTTTGAAAATTGTCAGTTAAATGTGCCACCGAATAAACCATTAAGCCAAAATACTGAACCTTTACCTTACACTATTGTGGCAGATGCGGCATTTCCATTAAAAACCTATTTATTAAAACCATACAGTAAAGTAAAATTAGTTAACAATGATGCAAACAAAATTTTTAATTATCGTTTATCGCGTGCTCGCCGCACTGTAGAAAATGCATTCGGTATATTGCGAGCGAGATTTAGAGTGTTTCAAGGACCTTTACAAGTACAGCCGAACATGGCGGACAAGATTGTACTTGCTGCTTGCTGCCTCCATAACCTTTTAACTCAAAATACACAAGAAACTGAAGAAATATTGACGGACGAAATTCAGGTTCACAACAGTGGCTTTGTAGACATTGGCCCTTTACATAGAAATCCATCACAAGAAGCTACTCAAGTTCGCGAAGCGTTTAAAAACTATTTTGTAAGTTCAGAAGGGCAAGTTCCATGGCAAATTCAAGCTATTAGACAAAGTAGAACTCGGTATAATTAAATAAAAGCACTTTACTTACGAGGTTGTTTCATTTTTTCTCCTATCTCTTCCCAAATAGCTGCTCTCATAACTTGATCTTTATATTCTTTACATTTTGGATTATAAATCACTTTAAATTGTCTTACGTATTCAATTAGTTGCTCTTCGTCCATTTCTGACGCGTAATAACACAACACTGGCGCGTGCACACTAGTCTGATGCGGTATGACGTCTCACGGCACCGCCCCCCGCACCTCACCCTTTCTGACGCGGACCGGGATCGCCTGTGACACGACACATCAGAAGCCGTCGTAACACACCGCATTGAATAAATGTGAACGCTTCCATATTAAATGTATGAAACTGATACCGTTCTGATGCATCACAACACAACACGTCAGATAAATGTAAATGCGGCTTTATGTCTGCAATGTGTTCTTTGAGTCTGCTGGACATATTGCGTTTAGTTTGCCCGATGTAAGACAGGCCACAGTCGCAATCCAGTTTGTATATACCTGCATCTTGCAATGGGGTGTTACTTTTGATTGGTCTTAGGAATTGCTGAATCTTCTTGTGCGGCTTGAAAATTGTATGAATAGAAGCTCGTTTTAGGATCCGGCTAATTCTATCTGTAACTCCCTTTACATATGGCAAGTAGGCTGGCTGGCGGGGAACTGTTTGTGTCTTGTTTTTGTTTTTGTGATGCAGCCGGGGGATGCGCAGCTTGTTTCGGTGTAGCACCTGTTTGGCATGCTGTAGTTCCTCCTCGAGGTGGGCATCATCACAAAGACGTTGGGCTCTCTGAAACAAACATTTACCGACAGAAAGCAGTTGTGAAGGGTGGTGGTGGGATTCACCATTGAGGTACCTATCTGTGTGGGTTGCCTTCCTGTGTATTGTGTGACCTAGTGTGCCATCTGCTTTGCGTATAATTAAAATGTCTTTTAGTCGATACCAACTCCGGGGAAATAAATACAGATAATGCAACTTTCTCTGCAGCTGTGATACTTTTTGACATTCAACATCTTTTGTCTTCAGTCACCGTGACCACGCACGCTGTAAAGCACGCGAAACGTCGGATAAATTTAAAATTATGTTAAATAGTTGTAAATTTATAATAATACATAACTTCAATCCGGTCAAAATAGTGTTTTATTAAATGAATAAAAGTTATGTTAATCAAAGACAATACTATGTGTTACAGCCCTTTGTTCCCTTTTAGTCATATCATTTATGCTCTTAATTTGTCCCTTTTCTTTTTTCTTTTTATATTGCTGCCTTTCTTTTTCTTTTAATTCGGCATTTTTAACCGGATCGTTTTTTATTCTTTGGTAGCGTAATTTTTCAGCTTGACGCTTTTTTTTCTAACCTCTCTTCCCTTGTTTGTTTCTTTTTAACATTCGCCATGATGTCTGATTATATTCGAGTATCTAGAACAAATGAAATGAAGCCTAAAATCATTAAATATTAACGAAACAAAAACCTCTATCATATTAATGCTTCTAAGTCTACATTTACTGCCAGTTCTCAAATCAAGGGCGTAGAACGGAAGAGAAGAACTGGCAATAATCTCTCCGCCATTTTTTTTAATCGCCAAGTTTTTAGTTTTACACGTTTGTAAGGAGCGGCAACCATTACACCATGTTGCACATGACATCTTAAGTAATTAATAATTAAAATAAATTAAAAACAAAGATTTGTCCTCTATCAGCAGGAGGCATGGTGTAGGAGCTAGGGTGGTGTAAATAAGAGCACGCACTTACATTCTCGTGGGAACAACACGCAAATACATAGTCGAAACAACTAACATCACTGCATACACGAATTCAAGTACGACCAGTCAGCACAAGTAGCACCCGTTCACAAATATGACGCATGGCCAGCCATCGGCCCCCTCGCCATATTTTAGGGAGAGAGACGCCCGACGCACGGACGCCGCCACAAGCAATGACATTTAAGCGAGCATGACGATCCTTGAAATGTGGACTTGGCTACATAAGAATTGTGAATTTGTGATCCCGGCTCCGAATTAAATTTCGAGGGGACGAAATCCAATACCTTTGACGCAGTATAGACATCAATAACTCCGGACCTGCATGGCAGGCAGTTCAATTTGTGGTAGTAATCCACTATAAGGTTCAGAATATGGCCTTTTATGGAAGTATGATTGGATGTTTACTATTAAAACTTATATCGGCGTTACTCAGCCGTCCTCCGACTCTAACAAGTTTGTTCTGAAGGAATGGTTTGAGGCGCTGAAACGCAGGGGTACATCGCTTTCCTGTACGTAGGTTAGCGATTGCGTTGGAGAATTGGGACCGTTGAAGGTCACTCAATATTAAATTCTCCGTGTACTCTAAATCTGCTGCGATTATAGTACAGACCTCGTGCTACATGTTGGCAATACTCTAGGCTGCTCAAAAGCTGACCTTCTACTCGGTGCTTTTCGTGCAACTTTACCTACATTATATACGAGTTATTCATAGCGATATCTAAGATGTCAAAATAGAGGCGTAGGTGTCTCAAAAGAAAGGTTACATTTATGCTTTATTTACGCTATTGCTCTAAACCCTAGATCACTAACCTTATTTTACAACACTTATTACTAACCTTCGTCGTTTCGGCTACGCCGTACAAAAGGGAGGCTTCTAAGGGTTTATGGAATAAAATATTTATATATGTTTTATTTATTTAATACAATAATCATTTGTTAACATGTTTATTAGTTTTTTATTTACTAAAATCACAATTTAATTACATTTAAAGTATTGTAATTGAGACTAGAGTTATTACTCATTTGAAAATTTATGGTTTCATTCATGCTTAAATCTTATAAACTTATAAAAAAAAAGACGTAAAAAAATATTAAAATTAAGTAATAAAATCAACAAAAGAAAAACATTTTAGAAAAAAACTATTAATGCCACACAAGGATTTGTTGCACTTGGTGCAACAATTCTTTGTCATTCTTCGCCTTACGGAGGGGCAAATTGCAATTTTTTTTCTTTTTTTAGTGATAGGAAGACTATCTGCATCTTCTCTTTGATCATTCTCATGTGTAGAAATAGAACTACTGGTTCCTGGCATATTCAATATCGCTGTTATTGAGTCCCGCAGCCCCGTTTGAAGTGTCGGAATTCGTAATATTTTTTGCATGTGTGGCTCGACTAATTTTTTATGCAGAGTTTTCAAGTACTCACGCCTCGATAAAGGTTTTTTATTAGCCTCCAAAGTGTTGGTTACATATATAACGTAACTATTTATAAATGAAATGTTTAAAATTCCGTAAAAATTATATAAAGGCCAACGTCGAGTTTTTCGGCTTCAAGAAGCGAGAGAACACATTTGGGCCAAGGTGTCTACACCGCCCTTGGTTTTATTGTAAAACTCGATCATCGTGGGCTTTTTGGTAATCTCATCAATTGACCTTTCCTCATCACAAGTCGACAATAAGAATATTGTCTTTCGAGGCTTTGGCTTGTATGAAAGCAATGTCAGTTCCTTGTCATAACAGAAAATAGCTGTTCCTGTCTTCCGGGTACGCTCGTGCTGTAATTCTAAGGGTAGCCTTTCCTTTTGTTAGCACGTTGAGTCCATCGGTTTTAGTAAAAGAACCTAGATAGGGCTCGGCATCCACCATATACTTTGTAGAATTATCTACCAACATTTCAATTTTCACACCATATTTATTGGGTTTATTGGGAATATAAATTCTAAAAGGGCATCTGCCTCTGAAACCCAATAACTGTTCATCAATGGTAAGGTAGCAACTAGGTTTCTGGTTCTCTTGACATGCAGTTATAAAAAGATCCCACATATCTCGAAAAGGGGCATATACGTCAGTCAATCTTCGCTGTTCGCGCTTATACTTATCATCAAATCTGAGGCAGTTTATAAGAAAATCAAATCTCTCATTAGGCATAGTACTTCGGTATCGATTGCCACAAAAGGTAAAATCAAAAAGCTCCCTTGATGGTAAATGATTTTCCTTCATTGCTGCAATTAACGTAAGGATACCGATCAGAGCTCTTACTTCATTGGAATCTGTCTTTCTCTGGGTGGTTTTTACATCCTTGTATTTAACGCATTTTATTGCTATCTCGGCATTAGTGTGGATTACAATTAAATCAATCATACTATCAGTTACAAAAAATAAGAAGGGCACGTGCTGTGGTTAGCCGGATGCGCCCCTTTGCAGTTGGCGCACCTCGGCGTTGTCCCCTTTGGTAGGGGGCAGTCTGCGGTGCGGTGTCCCTCCCCGCACCTCACAAAGGCTATGGCCCGGTGGCATTGGTGCGAGGAGTGCCGGAACCCTTGACACCGGTGACATTGAGCGGGGCCCCTTTTGCCCCGCCATGACTCAATGGTGACCCCCGGTATACACAGCAGCTCCTTTATATTTGTATATAGCGGGGGTGAGATCGGGGGTGCGGCGCAGAATGACTAGGAAAATGCACCCCGGTCTCCCCTTCCTAGCGCGTATGGGCTGAGCATGCTCCGGCTCGAAGCCGAGGTCGCGCAGCTCTGCCATGATGGCCTCGGGCTCCGTATCCGCCGGAATGCCTCGCACCGCCACCTTCAGCTGCCGTTCAGCAGGCAGGGAGTAGGAGAAATACACCACTTTCACTCCGCTGTTCTCCAACTCCCCTAGGTACCGCTGCACCACACGGTACTCCTCTTCGTCGTCGGGAATGATTTTTATCCCCTGTCCAAATGCGCGCGCGTTGACTGTGCGTCCGAGCCTTTTTTTCATCTCCCTGACATGTACTGTCCAGTCAGGGAGAGACTCAATAACAAAAGGCGGATATTTCGGCTTCAACGCGGCGGGAGGCAGAGGTGCAAGGGGAGGCCGGCGGGCTACTGCCGGCGAGGCTGTCGTCGCGGCGTATGAAATCGCCGCATCCTGCGGCTTCGTTTGAGCCGTCACATAGGGGGATGCAAGAGGCACCGCTGTAGGCGCCACGCTCATGGGCGAGGCGAACGTCGCGACGATCGAATCCACCGTGTTCTGCGGTGATGAGCCGCCACATGGACGGGTGCGGGGGGCGCCGTGATAGGCGTCATGCCCATGGGCGCATCCGCCAGGCGATGACGACGCGGGTCCCTTTGCGAGAGCGGCGCCGGCATCGTATGTTGTATATTTTGTGTATTTATAATATTAATATTAGGCGGCGTCGTCTGCGCACAGACGCGCTTGGGTGCCGTCCCAGCGGCGCGTCCGCGCTGCGACGGGATATACGTCAGCCGTATACCGCGACGAGAGCTGTTTATTTAAATTATTTTTAACACCGCTATCTTCGGCTCCCGGTCCCGGGGCTCGATCGCTACGCGAGCGAGAGCCACTCCTGGACCGGTCTGCCATGCGCGACGCGGTTGCAATGTTAGACGGCTCACCTTAGTGCCGGGGTAGTATTTGGTGCAGGCGGCTCCCTCTATCGGCGTTTGTGTGTATCTTTATATTAATAAAGATTTTAACAAACAAACAAAGTAATCCTTAGGCTCGTGTGCACACTTCGAAAACAGACAGCTGTGCGAGGATTTTGCGTAGATCTCGCCGAGCTTAAGTACTGCAATAGTATACCGCGACGAGAGCTGTGCTTACAGACATCTGCGCGCGTATACCGCGACGAGAGCTACGCGACCCTTTTATTCGGCGAAGCATTTTATTCATTTATTTTCTACATATTTCCCTTAAATTATACATATTTTTATCTAACTTATTTATACTTAATTTCTACTTATGAGCTACCAACAATAGTCTTATTTTACTTATAGCTCATACTTAATACTATTTAAATCTATGAGTCGCCAACAACGACTTACTTCTTTTTTAATCGATCAACTATACTAAAACTTTTAATTCAATTCCAGATTTGACAATTTCAGTGTTGCAACGTTATGACAAGTACTAAATAGTGACGTTGCGAAATTATTCGATACGGAAATGGAATATTTGGAGGTTCATTTCGGTAAAAGAACTGATGAACAATTCTTCGTATTGCGGAGAATGTAAGTTCATCAATTTTATTTTTGAAACTTCGCTTTGGTCCAGTTTTTTTAGGAGTTGGCGGCGCACCTTTATTTCCTTCCTTCAAAACGTTACAAACAGAGCGTGAGGGTTATTCCCAATATGTTAGCAACTTTGCTCATACATTAATTTTCTTCCACAACGTCAAAGGCCTCCAATTTTGCAGAAGTTTCATTTTTCACGTACTTGTAGGTGTTGCGGATAATTACTTTTTCAGTAACAGTGAAAGCTTTTCGTGTACGTTTTTTTCATGGGGTCAAGAAAACATCCACGTCTTTTTGTGATGTACCTGGCTGAGGATCCATTTTGATGGAAAACCAAAACAAATAGATTCACTCAAAGTTCACAAAAAACTATGAACGTAACAACAAACACATCGTTACAAAAGTTTTGTTTTTAATATAAAAAAATAAATAAATAACTTTTTATAAAATAAAGCAGCGGTTACTAATTAATAAATAATTGTTATGAATAATTATGTTATGTATTCATTTAAATAAAAATCAATAATTGAGTCTTTAATTGGCACACCAATATTATGATTACATCTATATATATATAAAAGAAAAATGGTCTTCGTTTGTGGCTCCTTCACGCCTAAACCACTGATCGTATCGACATGAAACTACCACCATTCGATGCGAAATTTTTCCTAGATGGTTTATGGCTATTTATTTATTTTACTTTTATGAAAATTTATCCATACGGACTTCACCGCGGAAACATTCGGGGAGGCTTCCTAGAACCTATAAACGTCAACATCTGTTAAAAACTCGATTTTCGAAATATTTCAATTTTCTTAGCGGGAAGTTAAAAAGAAGAATAATAAAAATATGAAAAAAAATAAAATAATGAAACATAAAATTTATTTTAATTCGTCCAGCAAAGCGGGCGCGAAACGGCTAGTATTACATAAACATAAATCGCGATTGTTTATCAATTTTTGTGTTCATCACTACACTACTATATGTGGTATCATTATTTTACAAAATGACAGTAGCTAATGTCAAATGTGGAATCGAAATATAAGTCGTGGTATAAATATGAAGTTTCTTTTGAGACACCTTGTATTTGATTTTGGCCTTGCAATCCCCGTACCTAACAAAGTGATCATGATAACGAACTCTCGGAAATATGAAAAAAGGAGGTATTGCATTTCCTAAGGCATTTACTGCACAAGCGACTGTTACTAATGTACCACGTTCAGATGATGTAACAGCTCCCACTTGCCGTATGCCACGTCTTGCCACTACTTTACTTGTACACTTGTCTCATCAACATTGTATATATCCTGTGGCTCATATATGTGTCTGTCCAAAACAGTTTGCAAATTCTCATAAAAAGCTACCACATTCGTTTTGTTAAAACTTGTAGCTCTTGAAAAGCTTGTAGCCAGAGCTAGGCGTACAGACGGTGACGGGGTTCTATTTATAAAGGAACGGACCCATTCTTCAGCAGCCATCTTATTTTCCACCCAAGGAGCAGGTCGCATGTTGTATTTAGTTGTCAGTTCAAAGGCCAGCTTCCGTACTTCTTTTGTTGCAAGGCCAAAATATATATCCGCACATCGTATCATATTATAGGTTGGGGAAAAAGTTTCTTCGCATTTTAAGAAAATTCACAACATTTTTTAATATGAAAGTTTATTTAAATTTAACTAAAGTATGTAGGTACCATTTTGTTCGAAAACTTTGGCAGTCCTCTCGTGATGTTAACCTGACACTGCCGAAAGAATTCTGAAGAGACCGAAACAGGAGGAAATCTGAAGGTGCAAGGTCAGGACTATACGGCTGATACATTAACACCTTCCAGCCAAGCTCTCTTAATTTTTGCCGAGTGGCTAAAGATGTGTGAGGTCTAGCGTTGCCAAAGTGTCGAGACACAATTCCGCTCCTCTTGGAAACTTCGACACCCCATCTGGTCGGTTTTCTCATGTTCATATGGACATCATTGGACCACTCCCAACCTGCGACGAATACCGCTACTGCCTTACAGCTATTGATAGGATCACTAGGTGGCCAGAAGTTTGGCATTTTCCGACTTTCCCTTTACATCTCGTAGAAAGGTGAAACAGTTAAACAAAGACATCAACAACGAGGCTCGCTAATACCACTGTATTCGAAACCAACAACATTAGTGACGGAATTGATGGTCTCAATGCTCTTTTTTTTTCCTATTTGATGAAGAAAATGATGGCAGCAACAATAGAAATTAGGCACATAACAACTGCAGCTATTTCTATTCCCAGCTCCACTTTACTTTTCGATCTTATTATCACTTGCCCAGAATTGTGGACTATAGTTCCCTTATTTTGGGTGTGTCTAGAAGCTCTGAAATCATTTAAACTATGTCTATACAGGCATTGATGACATCCCACTGGTCTACCATTCATTAAACATTCCCATGTGTCCATGTCCTCATTGCACCCGTATAGATGTTCACATAAAGGTATCTCACTCTTATTGTCCAGCATGGTGTTACGACTACCTGGCGACGGGTACAAATTTAAACTCAACCTCCAACAATACAAAAGTTTATTTAAATTATAACAAAACAAAAGGAAAAAAAAATTAAATAATAATTTAAGTTAAGTTAACAAAAAAAATAAAAACTAACAAAACCCATGAGCACTGGGAAATTATCTCAGATCCAACGTCTTCTTGACGCGTGACGGTCTTCGGTCAGGCCAACCCACTGTCTTGTTTAGGAACCGATAGGTGCTGGTGAAGAAGTTGACTGAAGATTCAACAAAACTTGTTCAGTGGAGAAGTTGACTTTGGTTTCACAACTCCGTACCGTGAACCCCCAGTTTCCCAGGGGCTTGAAATATGATAAAATTTTTATTTAATTACTAGCAAACCCGGCGAAATCCGTTACTCCACCAGATGGCTTCGTTTTATGTAACATTTCGTTTGGTGATTAAAAGATGAAGAAATTTTTTTTTTGTTTTATATTTGAAAAGGAAAAATTTTATTTCATTTCACAACGGTAATGATTTCATTTCGATTAAAAAAATGAAGTGTTATTTAGTTGAACTTCTCTAAGTAAATGAAAGTGAATCCAAAGTAAATACTGAATCGAAGCGTTATACGTGTCCGCAAATTATCCGTTTTATTGAAGTGCTCTTTGGTAAACCACATTTTTTGTTTTTTGGTCTGACGTTAACACAAACAAAGCGGATGGTTTCCCAACTCGTGAACACGCAACGTATAACTGCCCATTTAAATTTATCCCGCAAACACGAAGCGATTGGCCTTGCGACTTTTTAATTGTCATTGCGAACGCAAGGCGAACTGGAAATTGCAATAGTTTGAAGTCAAACGGAAGATCAGTCGGAATCATTGGTATTCGAGGAATACATAAATTTTCACCTGCGTACTTTCCGTTAATAATGGTTGCCTCAATAAAATTCGGCATAAGTCTTTTTACCGAAAGTCGAGTACCGTTGGATTGGTGGTTACGCGGTGGATTCAAATTACGCAATATCATAATAACTCAAAGTTGGTACCAACTTTGAGTTTGACTCAACCAGTTGAGTTTCGGGGTGATGCAGAACTAGCAGAGTTCATTAGTGACAAGGACACCAGAGCTTTGCATGTGCTTGATAAGGTTGTGGTAATAGGGGGTTGTCAGGTAGAGGTGACAGCTTTGTCAAAGACAGTGTAACATTGTCTATAGATAATGCTGATGATGATGTGATAATGGAACCAATTCTGGTAGAAGGTGGTAGAAGATGGTGGTGAGAGAGAGATAGCTCATACTTCAGATAAACCTAAGAGGTTTACATTTAACACTCCTAGAGCTAGTGGTAACTATCTGTTTGTGAAATAATTCATTTATTATGTTTGGTTACAAAAAATGTTACATGTTAAATGTGGTTTAAATATTACATTTATTTCACATTTTAACAGGTAAACACAAGTATATAAACCAGAGGGACGTATAGCAAAAAATGCAATTGTTGCGGGGTACGTTACTGTGGCGTTAAATTTTTCACTTATTATTCATTATCTTGCTGTTCTCAATAAAGGCAAGCAATGCTTTTGTCTCAACCTTTGATAAAGGTTTACCTTGAGACTAAAACAAGGAAAAGTGCAAAATACAATTACTTAATAGAGTAAAAACAAAAACCCGCGAAATGTGTAGCGTTTATGTGAATTGACACGTTATTACTTATTACACGATTTTATAATAAATAGATAGACATACTTAAATACTACAGATACAACTTTACACCATTGCGGCTTGACAGCTGAAGATTTCATCCAATCCAGAATTGGTTTAACCTTGATGGGCTATCTGCATTTTTTTTCAACACCAGTCTGAACGAATGGTGTCTGAAGTATCCTCACGTGGCCATTCTCCCTACTGTCCTGTTTGTTGACTTTTCAGAATATTCCTTGAGACACATCATCTGAACTTCTTAGCTCTCTTCCATGTGCAGTTAACATGTCAGAAAATGTCTTTAATTGTTCCTCTGCTTTTAGTAGGTGTATTGACAAGGCTTCCTAATAGGTCTCAGAAAACTGTTCGAACTGTATTCGAATTTGTTGATTAGTGGCCTGTCCGTCCATATTGATTACGTAGCGATTGCACAATTCTACTACGTACGTACTATTTATCTCTTTCGCACATCATTCCGTCCTTGTCCCACACCTAGAAAATTCGCTCTAGAATATTCCTTCATCAAAGGGGTATAACTGCTTCTGAAAACGGATTTCTTGAAAACTGTACCACTCTCCTGAAAACTAGGGTAACATTATGCAAATTACGATTTTCTAATATGTGATTGACTTTCTCCTGAAACGGTCAGAAATCTCATTTCAGCCTGCTGAAAAGTTCTCGAACTAGTGGATATCCATCATATTTCTCTACAAGCACCATATCATTAGTCACTTAGTCACATGTAAAATTTCTAAGGTAGTCTTCTTACCTCATTTCCTAGTACTTGTAGTATACATAAACCAAGCAGTACTCTCCACACACCGACGATAGATAATCCTGAACCGTAACGCTATATTACCTCCACATGCAATAATTCCTCCTTAAAAATCCTTCTTTTGCTTCAAGAGGTTTACGTCCAAATGAATCAAAGTATTACCCAACTCTTTCGACGTTTATATGAATAGCCACCCAATGAGATCCCGGCTGTGAGTAAGGGATTGAGATTTCATATGATAAGTGCTGGTACCTCAGCATACATCGGCAATCGATTTGAAGGATATACGTTACTCTGGATGCTGAGATGTAATCTAAGAAGCCTCATTTGTACAGGTAGCCGAAATTTGTACAGGTAGGTAAAATCATGGGATTGCGAAGAAGAGTCACTTGTCCATATGTCGGTGGTCTTCAGTACGTTAGCTCTCACTCGCTGATAAATTTCTGGTATAACTTTTTCAGTAACGCAAAACAATTTTATAATTTTAGCATATCTTTTTAATAATCTTTGGAAGCCTATGTTGTTGACCAAATCAAACAGTTAGTGCTAGTTATAAATTTTGCCCGAATATCGTTGTCGGTGAAAAGTCTTTTCTTATTAATTATCTATGTCAGAGTTGCTTGTCTCTTAGGTTGTGGACCATTGTCGTCATCACACATTGTTTTCTGTATAGTTATTTTTGACGCTAAAGCAGTGTCCAATTTGCTCGAATCATGTGAATCCACAAGTTTGATGTATTATAATTTTCCGACTTGATGCCACCGACACATTTTCTTTATTTTTTTTTTATTGATAAAAAGCTTGCCAACGCTCGGCACACTGACATATTGGTAAAAACAAACATAAAATACATTTGATTTAATAATACTCCATTAACCTTTACACCATATTCGTTCCATTCGAGCTGTCGGAATACATATTCTAGAGTTGCCGAGAAAAGTTTGGGTGATAAAGGGCCACCTTGTCTGACTCCTCGTTTAATCGGGAAATATTCTCCGACTTTTTCTTACAGAACGCACAGAACTTAAATAAGTAAAACCTAATTATTGGTCCCTGAAAAGCACATAAATTAATAAATCTAATCTATTTCATCTTGACCCGCGTCGTCTTCACAATTATAAATTAGATACATCATAGGATAATCAGGGAGTTGCCCGAATGTTGAGGTTTGTGGATGACTGTTACTCTTAAATGAGTATGATTTGTTGGTTCCAATAAGTCTTAGTACATTTTATGGTAACTCGTTCATTCGTTTTAAGGGCTCCCACACAAAACTGCGATGCGATGCGATGCGAATTTCTGCGATACGATTTAGTGCGGCAAACCATTTGGTAGGGCGACCATTCCTTCGTAGTCAGCCGTACTGGATGTGTTTTTAGGAAGCGTAAGATGGATCGCAAAAAAGATTATTGCACTGCTGTTATTGTTAAATAGATATAAAAGAAAAAGAAGATTCTGGGTTCATCCATTTATTACGATTATGAACTCTGATGCAAACTTTCACAGACGCTCTTCCACGCATCTTGCTTAATAAATTTATTTTTATAATGTTCATCACTTGTGTCCCAAAGGACGGGACGCTCCTCAATTAAAAATATTAAAAAATCCATATCATATTCCGCAATTTTTATAAACAAAGAAGGCGGCGGAGGCACCGCGCGTCTTTCTCTTAAGCTGTCTCAGAGCGGACTAAAATGGCGTCACCAAGGATGACGTAATATCGCAAGAATGTGCTATGCGAAGCAGATCGGAAATTCTTGCGATGCGTTCGTGCGAAACACAGCACCCAGCCCATAAGCGCTGCTGTCCACTGACAAAACTAACTCTCGACCTTCCTCATAGTGCGCTTACTTATCAGGATCTGGTTGCAAACCCTCTTTATTTATAATAAAACCAAGATACTTAACACTATCTTGCAAAAATTTACATTTAGATAAATTGACAGTTAGCCCCATACTACGCAAACGTTCGAGTACTGCCTTAAGATTAGTTATGTGTTCAGTTCTATTCGAGCCTGTCACACAAATGTCATCTAAAAAAACGACACAGCCGCTCACTCCACGCAACGTTTCTTCCATTAATTTTTGAAATTTTTCCGGTATACATGATAAACCATAAGGAGTACGACGATAAGCAAAAGTACCCATATGGGTAGTAATGGCAGTGACCGGCTGTGATTCCTCAGATAAAAGACACTGCTCGTACGCTTGCGTTAAATCTATTTTCGTAAACTGCTCCCCCCCTCTTAAATTAGCAAATAATTAATCAATTAGCGGTAATGGATAAAAATCTCTTTTTAATTTGGGATTCACAGTTATTTTATAGTCCCCACAAATACGTATCTCCCCATTTTTTTTAACTACTGGTACGATTGGGGTCCCAAAATCAGAGTACTCCACCCGATAAATGGATCCGTCTGCCTCAAGACGCGCTAGCTCGTTCTCAACTCGCGCGCGAAGTGCTAGTGGCACCGGCCTCGCTCGCACATAAACCGGTTCGTTATCGCAAAGATGTAATCGAATAGTTTTCTTACA